TTGCCCCTCATGTTGTAAAAGCCAGCTCATGAGCTTGTGTTCATGGAGTGGGGGAGGATATAGATCTCTGTAAGCACATCATATTAGTATCTGACACTTGGAAATAATTAGAAGTATTACTGCGGTGGACTTGCTTTCTCCCAGCTGTCCTTGCTGGGCCAGTAAGTATCATTATGTACATAATTATTATTTGTATGTTTCCAGAAAAGAAATTACTCCCATTTAATTTTTCTTTAAAAATTGAAACTGGTTTGGGGTAATAGCTCATTCAGAATGCACACAAACCTGAGTTTGATCCTCTGGACCCATATTTTAAAAATAATAATAATAAGCCAGATAATATAGTGCACACCTACAACCCTAGCAATGAGGAGGTGCAATGAGGAGGTGAAAACAGGAGAAACCCTGAGCAGCCGACCCAACTGATTTCATGAGTTCCAGGCCAATGAGAAACTCTGTCACAAATGTTAAGGCCAACAGGACCTGTGGAACAACAGCCAAGGTTTTCTTCTTGCCTCAGCCTGCACACCACACACACATACACACACACACACACACACACACACTCACAGGAACATGTACACCCACACACATGCACCTGCACACACGTGAGCATACATGTGTATACATACACAAACTGAAAATAGTCCTTCTCTTATTTTCACACTATGCTTAGTATTTCAGAAGTATTCAGTGATTCATGGTACCTGGTACCATGCATACATAGAAATATGCACAACAATACACCCCAAGATTATCTCCCAACAGTCTCTGATGTTTGTTTAGAAGTCTGTTTTAGATAAGAGAGAAAAGCTTTGAAATTTCTAAGCTTGTTAGATTATCAGATTTGCATCTTTTAAGTAGGTTTTCTTCTTAAGTCTGTGCCTGTGCTTTTTAATTAGTTAATTAGTTACTAAGAAATACCATCACAGGTCGCAGAGCTTTAAGCATCAAGGAGGATATGTAGAAATGTAAAAAGGTCAGTATGAGAAATGAAACAGAAAAATGATAGATAATACACTAAACATTAATGAGGGTTTGCCCTCATAGAACCTGTTCCTGTCTTTTTAGAAGTTTCTTGAGGGCCCCAGACAGCCCTGGCCTGAATCACTGAAAATTCATGAATACCAATGGTATCATAATGTCTGTGTCCTAGAACACTGAAAGTGATGACTCAAGACAAACTCAAAGCAAACCCTATCTCCCCAAACTGATGGAGGCCGAGGCTGTCTCTGGTGCTACTGGCAATATCCTCACCATGCTCTGGTCTCTCTTCTGTCATAGCACCATTTACCAAGAAGGAAGAAGCAGGTGAATTGTTATTTCTGGAGTTTCCTGTCTTCCGATATACAGATTAACATCTTATGTGATTGTTGTTCTTGGAGAGATGTAGGCTCTCACACAACACAGCAGAACCTAGAGTGTGTCAGTATCTCAGAGGTGAACAGCCTAACACCAAGAAAAGACCCTCCCGAAACTGAGTGGTTACCACACAGGAAACATGGGGACATAAGGAGTTCTGCTTTGACTGTGATCTGAGCTCTGACCATTGATAATGAAATGCAGAATTTGGAAAAGATACAAGTCAGAAAGGCCCGTGTACTGGCTGGTTTTGTGGTTTTGCGTGTCATCTTGACACAAGCTAGAGTCATCAGAGAGGAAGGAATCTCAGTTGAACAGATGCCTCCATGAGATCCAGGTGTAAAACATTTTCTCAATTAGTGATTGAAGGGGGAGGGTCCAGACTGTTGGTGGTGGTTCCATCCCTGGGCTGGTAGTTCTGGATTCTATAAGAAAGCAGGCTGAGTAATCCAAGGGAAGCAAGCAAGTAAGCAGCACCCTTCATGGCCTCTGCATCAGCTCCTGCCTCCAGGATCCTGCCCTGTTTGAGTTCCTGTCCTGACTTCCTTCAGTAGTGAAAAGCAATGTGGAAGTGTAGGCTGATGAAACCCTTTCCTCTCCAACTTGCTTTATGGTCATGGTGTTTCGTCTCAGCAATAGAAACCCTGACTAAGGCAACCCCATAATAAAACTAATGCAAACCAGGCCAGTGCTATGTCAGCTAAGGAAACACAGATTCCAGAAAAGCATGTGTCTCTTGAGCTGGGTGCTTGTGACTCAACACTTTCATCATTATGTTCCTCATTTAATTTTATTTTTATTTTCAGTCTAATACATAAAAACACAATAGTTATACATACCTATGGAGGATGCTTAAAACATGTATACATTGTATAATGTTTAAATTAAGCTATGTGCACCTCAGCTATATCATTCTTTATGGTGAAAACAGATTTCATTCTAGTTTTATGAAAAATGTAAGTTTATGCAATTAGTACCCAGTGATTAGCCTGTTCCTGTCCCTGTGTTCTCTCCCAGCTACTGGAACCCACCATTCTATTTTGCAGTGTATCTTTCGTATCTGTCTATCTATTCATCTATTTATCATCTATACGTGTGTGTGTGTGTGTGTGTGTGTGTGTGTGTACCTATCTGTCAT